CTCCATGAATATAATTCAGAATACAGAATTCTTAAATAGCTAAGTTACAAATATCTTCCTCAGAACATTAGGACTGAACGTTAGGTAAGCAAACCTTGTGTTTTAGGATCAATTGAGGAAGCCAATGGAGTGCTATTTGGATTGAAGTATTCAGTAACTTAAGCAGCAAAAGAACTATTGAATAATAATCTCCACCTTGATGCGCAATAATCTACAAGCAACCAAAAACACAAAGTTTAAACTTGCACAATTAAGGTAATCCAATGAAATTGGTATCACAGATCTTACCTCGTGTTTCGAATCGAAACACACACCACACTTGCTCCATGTACTCACTGGGGCTAAGGTCCAAAAACACCCAAGTAGAAACAAATATCTCAATGAACAAATAATCATGTGATGAAGATATTATATAGGATATTACACAGATCTTTTAAGAAAATCACGTTCACACAGAACCAAAGATTAACACCAAGGTAATCAGCACACGGTTAAACACATATGCAACAAATACATAAATGACCCCACGAAAGATCTCATCACACTTATCCTATCCCATTACGTGTTACTCCCACCTCGAGAATACATATCTCCTCTTATCGCTCACCATACTCACTAAACAAATCACTTAACTCATATTTAACCGGTAAATCACAATAGATCCTAAATTCTCAGGATAATCCTCTATCACTACATCACTTCTCTCAACCTATGTGAATAATGGGTCTCCACCTTACAGAAGTGATACAAGTGTCTATCTCTCACTCTACATGTATAGGGTCTCTTTCATAGATAAATGATTCTACATTTGATCACATTTCCACTCGTGGCTCAAATGTCACACTCCACATCCCCCAATACAAATCACCATGTACCCCTAGGCATCTACACTCCACCTTACCAAAAAAATCTAACGTACTGCTAATGCATCCTAACCTGCTACGCATGCAAACGATCACACCAAGAAATCACATTACCTCAAATTCATGCAAACACATATATCTAACAAATTGAAGTACAACATATAGTCATGCAACAAATTAGGCAATCACACACATGTAGAAAGGATCACACACATATGCATATGCAGTGACTAGATTTACTTTCTCAATAAACCTCGTTGAGGTCATAGCTCGACCTCTTAACCATATTCGTCTCACCTCTCACATAACCCTTTTACCTATCCTTCTTCTTGGGATAATCTCTAATAAAGTGTCAAGACTTACCGCAACTATAACACCACCTACCACTAGATTTGTCCTATCCCTTGCCCTTCATCTTACCACTTTCATCACTTGAGTCACTACTCGAATCAACACTATTTTGAGTTATACCTAAATTCATTCGCTTAAACTTCATCCTACTCCTCATCATGTGTAACTTACCACTCCTTTTATCTTTATTTTTAGCCTTAATTTTGATCTCTTTACTCTTAAGAGAATCTATGACAATTTTAGGTGTCAATGTATCCCTACCATACTTAATGACATTTTTAATTTCCTTATATGACTCAAGCATGGAATTAAGCAGGATAATGCCTTATATGTTTCAGATATGCTTTCTTCACAGTTAAAAATATTTTGGACAAGTTTATTGAAAATATCCAGATTGTCATTAAGATCCTTTGAAAGATCCATTTTAAAATTCAAGAAATGCTCAAGAAGATAAAGTTTATTGGGAGTAGATTTAAGCAAATACAGATCTTCCAACTTTTTCCAAAAATCTTTTGTGGTTTTCAATTTTCCCACTTTTTTCAAAACAGCGTCAGACAAATATAAAATGATTGAGGTATAAGCAAGCTTATCAACTTTTTCTTTTTATTCTTTTGAAAAATTAGATGGAAAATTGCCTTCAATGGCTTTTGAAACCTTTTGTTGGACCAAAATACCTTTCATTTTTTGTTGCTAGATTGAAAAATCACATTTTATTAAAAATACCAACTTCGAAATATGAAGACATTTTTTTTTTGGAAAAACGAAGCAATCAAATGCAAAAATAAGTCACAAAAAGTAATCTTACTACCGCAATATACACCATCCTAAATTCTCAGGATTTCGTAAGACTCACAATCTTAAATCAACGGAACGTTCGAACAGGTAAGGTTTCGGTATTCTAATGGAAGCAACAACACAACGGAATTTACGATGTAACAAAATAGGTATATCCAATCAAATGAAATTTCATGACAATTTTAGTACAAAGTACAACACGCTAATATATCCAAAAATAAGTACTAAATCACAAAAATTAAGAGCAAGTAATCCTAATTTCTAGCATAAGCAATGGTTGTCAAGTAATGACAACCATCAATCTTAATGATCACCCCCACACGATGATTTGCTAATGTTGAAATTTAAACTGCGATAAGCCAATATATCAGAGCGGACCTATTTGAGTCCATAAATTACGAGAGATGCAAATTTATCACTTTAGGACCACCACTATTTGTCCTAAAGTCTCTAAAAACTACAGCAATAAAGAAATCATGATCGAGTCCAGATTGCCCGAAGAACAACTCTCTCCAGATTCTACTGCAAACCCTAAAACATAAAACTTTCAACACGAAAAATGTCAGAAATAATGTGAGGAGAAAATTTCCAAAAGACAACTTCTCGAAATTCGTACCCACGCACCCTTACAGGAATGTAGCGATCACCCACATGCCCTAGCCACCCAGCACTGCCTCCACATGCAGATCACGAATCCGACCTCCATTACACCAAAAGATGTCTGGATCGACTAAAAATTGAGGTTGCAGGTCCGATTTTTGTGAAGAAATTTGAACAGATTGAGGTTGCAGGTCAGATTTTGGCCAGAAATTTCACCCCAACCACGCTCTAATGCCAAATGTTGAATAATAGACCTTCAATTGGTGAATTTTCTGGGCTCAAATACCAATCTCGACCTTCACAACACCTAAACAAATCACGACCCAAACTTCCAACTTTCTTCCACACTCCTGTTGCTTTGCCTTGTACCCACTTAGGACACAAAAGGGATGGTGCTTTCAGCCACAAAGGCGATGCTACAAAGGCTAGAGAAGAGGAAGAAGAAAATTGGCCAAAGCAAGAGAAAGAGGAAGAGAGTTGTTTTCTTCCAAGACGAAACACACGTTAGTAGTAAAAGACCAAGGAGGCTAGCTTATATAGTTTAGATTAGGTCAAAGTTGTGGGTCAAGCCCAATACAAAATATCGATAAGTGGGCCAACAATATAAGCCACCCAATGAGTGTGGAAGTCGAGCCATGAGCAACACTAATTAATTAGGTTGCTTCCAATGGTCTAAATAGATTTAGGGTCGGGTCCTCAATCTTAGGTGTCGATAATTAATTTATCCAACATTGATTTAACATCATTGCCTAGGATTATTGGGTATCAAAAAACCCAACAAGAAGATAGCAGTAGTCCAACAGAGAACTTATAAGCAGTAGAAGAGAAGAAGAAGGAAGAATTCACGGGAAGCAGAAGACCTTGGCAACAAGCCGCAATTCAAAATTCATCAATTCGAAGCATTCAACATATAATCAAATTATGATACAACATATATTGAAATAACAAGCAGAAGAAGTAGAATTGATGTAGGTAGTAAAAAGGAAGGAAAAATTCAGAGAGAAATGGGAAAGATCAGAGAAGAAGAAGAAACCAGATGAGGAGAAGAAGAATAGGGAAAAAGAAGGTGTTGGTAACAAATCACCTTCAATTTTCATTTATTCATCGTCTAACTTCCAAGTCACAATACCAACCATACAAATAGAAAATAAATAAAACTAATAGTTAAAGGGCTTGGGCCAACCTAATAGTACAAGCCTAACTAAAGAAAACATAAATAAAATCCACAACAACTCCATAATAAATAGAAGACACTTTAATGTAGGATCAATTTGAAGCATTCAATATATAACCAAATTATGATGCACCATAGATTGAAGTAACAAGCAGAAGAAGCAGAATTGATGCAGGTAGCAAGAAAGAGGGAGAAACCCAGAGAGAAAGAGGGGGGACCAAAGAAGAAGAAACCAGAGGAAGAGAAGAAGAATAGAGGAGAAGAATGCATTGGCAATAAAACATTAATTCATCAATTCATCAACATAGTTCTAATTTACAATATAAACCTTTAAATAGAAAACATTAACCTAGAAGGTAAAGGGCCTTAGACCAAACCCAATAATACAAGCTCAACTCAACATAAAATAATTAAATGATCAAATAACAAAAGACCGGGTAGAAAAATGGGAATCATAATTTGTTTGTTACTTATTTGAGGCCTTTTCGAGCTAATTGTCTCTGGTTGGATAATAATTTATGATTACTTTTTAAATGTATGTTCATAATTACTACTTATTATTATTCAAACATTTCGTGAGATTCGATATTATTATTATCACCATCATCATCATCACTTTTCCTCTTTATAAGCTTTTTGTAAATTTGCCAAAGAAAGGCACCAAAGCGTGTAGAACTTTCATCTTAATCTAGGGATAGTTTCACAAATGGTCATTGAGATTTATATGAAATTTCAAATTTATCATTAAAGTGTTTTTGAATATATTTAGTCATTAGGGCCTTGTTTGAGCCACTTTTTTTTAAAAAAAAAAAAAAAAATACATTCTTAAACAGTGATTTGACATAATTTCAATCACATATTTTTCAACAAAATAATATTATACGGAAATTCAAAACTTTTTATTTTTATTTTTTAACCACACATTTTCCATCAATACACTATTCAAAAATACATTTTAAAGAAAATAACGTGGCTCAAACAAGGGCCAGAGTTGAAGAACGTCATAAAATTGTTAACTCCAATAATAACATCAATTCCAAATTTGACTGTCATGTTAAAAATATGTATCGACTACTGATTGTTGTGTTCATGCTATGAAATTACACATCATAAAAATTAAAGCGCCCTAACAATTTGTTCAAAAACTATAAAATGCTCCCTTTAATCATAACCTCATTTTTCATCTTTGATAAACAGTATATATGCCAAGATAGAGCAAAACGGGAGGCTAGTTGGAAGAAAACCGTCGTTTTTGACGATTGTTAGTCAGCTGAAATTATTGGGATCACATGTCGTTCTAGAATTGGGCCTATAGTAAAGAAATCAATTATTTTGGAAACCAAATGTGAATGCTAGAAAAATGGATTTATCTTTCAGGAAAAGCTGTAGACTTTAAGCAACATATGATATTAAAAAAAAAAAAAAAAATTAATTATATGCAGGTAGATTTGGTCAAATTTACATGTTGAATCTGCATTTCCACCTCTCTCTATAAAATTGAATTTCTGGGATGCAAAAGATATAAAACTAGAGCAATGGATACCACCAGAAGGGCAAAGTTTATGATGGCGATGCTAGTGGTCTTTCTAATACTCGACTGCTTCCCTTCGGGTTATGCATCGGCCTCCTCTGCCACTCCAGGTTAATATTTCTAATCAATCGTATACGTAATCACAGAGAAATCTCGTATTAGACACGCAATTTGGTTTTTGTTTCAGTTCAGTACCTCAATTAAACATTTATTAGTTTTTCTCAGGGGCAGACCAGAATTATAGTTGGGCTAAAATAAATTTTGAAAGAAATCAAAAAAATCTGAAAATTTAAATTTAACAAGGTCCAATTAAAAGTTTTTGAAAATTCATTGGGACGATCAACCCCACTCGTCCCTTAATGGGTCTGCCCCTGATTTTTCTTCAGGATGCCCGAGGTAGAAGAGAGCTTCGAGATGAAAAATCTTGTCATATATTCTATTTAGAAAAACCCAGGAATTTTACTTGAATGACTAAAATAAAACCATTGACAAACTTTAACGACAACTTTGCCATGAAATTGGACTACAATTGAGCGACTAACTGGGTTTTTTGTGCTTAGGGACAAGCCGGGAGCGTAGTTCATCATGGTGCTAGAGAAGCAAATCTAGAAAATTAGTTATGGATTGCCGGAGGCATTTCGTTTTTCTAAAGACCAGCACTGCCTCCGAAAGCCTTAGAGTGGTTGCCGGCGGGCACAACCTACCACCGCCTCCCCAGTCTTGAAGTTTCCAAGTTTAGTCTCTTTCTTTTCCTAAGCAAAGTTTATGCGCCAAAAGAATTTTTATTGATGTGTTGTGTATTAAAAAACTAAATTTCATGAACAAAAATAAATAAATAATAAAAATATTGTGATGAAGAAACAAGAGAGTGAATTCAACTGCAAACCACCTTTTTAGGCCACTTTGATGGATATCTTTATATAATTTAAAAGCCTGTCAAGAGCCCTGCCACTATCAATGGCCTCTCTAGCTCTGTCCATGGTTATGGAGATATCTTCTGCACCATCACATCGTAGCAAATGATCAACCATTCCCGTATATAAAACAATTCGATCATATGCAGAACCATTCTCCCCGCATAGATCTGCTAATCCCAACTCTGTTTCCTCATCACCTGAGATATTAGGGAAATAAACAAAAGCGCTGTTTCTTTGTCATGGTACTCGACTACGCATATAAAGATAAAACTTCCGGCATGTGAGAAGTGATTACTCTATGTGCTAGAAACGTTTGGTCCATGTTCGGTATACAATAGCTCGTAGGACTAAAGAGTTTAATAAATAAGATTTTAACTTATTTTTCTTCCTTGATACTAATATTTAATTTTCACTACTAAACATACCTTTAAAGTCTCCCCCCTCCCTCTCCCAACCCCCGCAAGGCATAAAGATAAATAATGACCATGTGCAGGAGTGGAGTCAGCACTGGCGAGTCCCTTAAGCTGCCCATGCTGCTCGACTCCCGTTCGATCAGCTGTCCATGCTTACCTAGATTTACTATTGACCATGTGATCAAAATACAAGATCAAAATCATGGGAATTATTTTGTCTTGAAACAAGACTAAGTAACTAGTATAAAAACCAAAACTTGAATACTCAAGAACAAGAGAGTTAAGAGACTTACAGATCTATCAGTTCTTGGAGCGTCAATTGGCTCAAAGCCATAATCCTTGGTAATTACAGCGATACTCCTACTGATGGAAAAATATTGTTCAAAATCAATAAAGAGGCGTGTGGAATGAAAGTGAAGAAATTGAGGCGTGTGGAATGAAAGTGAAGAAATTGAGGCGTGTCTTCATATCGCGTGAGACAGTGCAAGGCCTCTAGCCCCTGCTTCCAAACAAGGATTCTTCTATGCGACCGCATAGGAGGTTCAATTAACCATTGGTGGCGATTTTTTGATTCAAATTTGGCGGCCTTTCACTTATACTTTAGCACTACTTCGTATAGCAATGTTTCATGGCTATAAATAGGTGGTTGATGATATTTTTAACATCAAGAAAAACACTTGATTACATTTGTGATCATAATCTTCATTCCTAAAAGAAGAAATCAAAGTCGTCTTCATCCATATTCAATATTCCCTTTGTCTTCTTAAGTTTTGGAGAATTTATACAAGTTCTTAAGTATTGATTCTCTACAAGGCTTGATTACTCTTACAAACTATTTGTCGCAAGACCCTTTAAGCACCAAAATTATATCTGAGAGGGGGCAAATATCGTTTGAGGACAACGATATAATGTCGTGTTTGAGCCTTCATATTTATTATGATGTTCTTCTTATTTTCATCTTCTTGATTATTTTTATATATATTGTTTCTTCTCCATTTTCCCCTATTGATGCAAATTTTCCAACGCCTACAGCATTACATATTCAAATTTTAGGACAAAGCAGCAAAGCTAGAACAAACTTGGTTAATTAATTTAGATTTTGATAATT